TATATATTTGTTGTTGTTATATGCCATTGAGTCAGACCCGACTCATAGCGACCCCTCCTTGGGTTTCTGAGGCAGTATCACCACGGAAGTAGATTGCCCCATCTTCCCTCTGAGGAGTGGCTGGTGGGTTTGAACCGCCAGCCTTCTGGTTAGCAGTCAAGTGCCTTAGGCACTATGCTACCAGAGCTCCCTATATATATGTGTGTGTGTGTGTGCGTATGTATGTGTGTGTGTGTGTGTGTATATAGATATATATATATATATATGTTTCTTCTGTTTGCGGCAGCTTTTATTAAAATGTTCTCGGCGTATTAAGAGTTTAAATGGTCTGATCTTCCGAGGAACGCTTGCAAAACTTTGTAGAAGTGTAAAGTTGATACATGAGTTTGTCCTTTATTTTTCATATTTTAAAATGCTCTTAAAAATTAGTTTAAACCATACCTTTTTTATTGTGTTTTTCATGAGAGTATTTTCGTGTTCTTTTTCATTAAGTAAATGATTTAGAACAGTCCTTTGAGGCAGAGGTAGCTACAGTTGTAGATTTGAGCTGTGCTTGAATTTATTATTTTTTAAGCAGTGAATGGTAGATACAAAAGAAAGAACAAATCATGACTTTGTGTAGGATGTCAAAGGACTTAGCAATTCTAGAGTTACCTTAGGTCCTTTCCAAAACAATTTTTATCTGTTCTATTTGTGTTAAATGGTGATTCGGTTGTAGTAAAAGGACTATGGAACAGACCTATATATTGGCTTGATGTTAATGTATGAATTTGAAGTTTTTAATTTTAAAAAGTTTTCATTATCTTTTCAAGGTTTATTGTGATTATCATGGCCACTCACGAAAAAAAAATGTATTTATGTATGGCTGCAGCATCAAAGAGACCGTGTGGCACACCAATGACAATGCGACTTCATGTGATATAGTTGAAGACATGGGATACAGGGTAATGGTTACAGATTATTCATGGATTTTTGAACATGCATAAAACTACAGAAAATAATTTGTATATACAAACTACCCAAATTCAACCAACATTGACATTTTTGCTTCAGATTCGTATTTGGAAAGTTTCTTCTAAAGGTTTTTGCTTTTTGCATTTAGAGTTTTAATCTGTTTGGAATTTATTTTTGTATGAAATGTGGGCATCTAATTCTGTTTTCCCTGTGGATAACCAATCGTCTCAGCAACGTTTTGTTAGATAGTACATTCTTCCTTTGACAGTTTTATAAAGCTATCTCTGTTACATATCATGTTTTCATATATATGAGTCTGATTTGGGGCTGTCTATTATTATAGCCATTGTTTTGTCTCTCTGTGCTGTTGTTGTTATGTGCCGTCGAGTCGGCCCCAACTCATAGCGACCCCTCCTTGGGTTTCCGAGGCAGTATCACTATGGAAGTAGGATTGCCCAA